CCACAGACATTTACAGAAAGTTGACAGTAGGGGTGACAGCTGGGCACACAGCCACCTCCAGCATGGGCCGGGCCACCTGTGCTGCGTGATGGAGTGAGGTAGGAAGCCACCATCTTCATGATCACCTGCAGGGGTGGGGAGGGGGCTCATGGGGGAGACTCCGACTCTTTCTGCCATTATTTCTCTGCTCATTCCCTTCACTGCCAGGCTCCCGCAGCTGCAGAATCAAAATTACCAAACCATCACCCCACCTTCTGAGACACAGTCAGGCAAAGCTAGGCTGTGAGCACCTGCCTCACAGCAGGGACAGGCAGCTGCCTTCCCCAAGGGCCAGCTCGCCAGCTTCCTTGAGAATCATTATTCAGGGCAATGTCATACACTCACTTTCCCCTCCCAAACAGCCCAGGATGGTGTTTGAACAGAGCACAGAAGCCGACCTTTCATTTGCAGGCTGGGCTGGACTCAGTGGCTCACGCCTGTAATTCCAGCACTTTGGGAGGCCGAGGTGGGTGGATCACCTGAGGTCAGGAGTTCAAGACCAGCCTGACCAATATGGTGAAACCCCATCTCTACTAAAATACAAAAATTAGCCAGGCGTGGTGGCACACACCTGTAGTTCCAGCTACTCAGGAGACCGAGGCAGGACAATTGCTTGAACCTGGGAGGCAGAGGTTGGAGTGAGCCAAGATCGTGCCACTGCACTCCAGCCTGGACAACACAGTGAGGCTGTACCCCTGCCCCCCCCAAAAAAATCTGCAGTTTAGTGAATTAAAAATCCTCAATGGCAGAGGGGCTGCCCACAGAGCAGCACCCACAAGCCTTCCCTCCTCTAGGCACCAGCGAAACAGTCCACTCCCATAGCCCTTCCCGCCATTGTTAGCCCTCAACACTGTTGTAAAAAGTCAGCTGAGGGCATGTGGGGCGCAGAGATAAGCAGGTCCTGTGGCTGCATCCCACAGGACCCCCTGGTTCCCCCAGCATCAGGTTCCGATGCCATGGGAGGATGGGACTTCGGCTGGCCAGGACACAGAAGAAGGTCACGGTCTCCTCTGCTTTCCCCAAAAGACTTGGGGGCATTTCTCAACTCTCTTTGTCTTTAGAAGCTCTTTGTACAGAGAAAGGCCTGTTTATGACACGTCTAAGTGAGAAGCAGTTACAATAACTGGACGTGAGCACAGAGAGGACAATCTCACTGCTGTAAGGAAAACCACTTAAGAGTTCGGAGTCCAGCTTGGGGCCAACTAAACGGGTGACTCTCAGTGCTGTGTGTAACTGATCACGATTCTAAAATAACCACTTTTCCCTCCCTTTTCCCAATTTCCCCCATTCAAATCATTGCTGATATTTTACTCTTTTACTGTATTCTATTTTTATTTTTTGAGACAGAGTCTCACTCTGTCACCCAGCCTGGAGTGCGGTGGTGCAATCTTGGCTCACTGCAACCTCCACCTTCCAGGTTCGAGAGATTCTCCTGCCTCAGCCTCCCGAGTGTCCTGAGTAGCTGGCCCCATAGACACCCACCACCACGCCCAGCTAATTTTTATATCTTTAGTAGAGACAGGGTTTCTCCATGTTGGCCAGGCTGGTCTCGCACTCCTGACCTCATCTGATCCACCCACCTCGGCCTCCCAAGGTGCTGGGATTACAGGCGTGAGCCACCACACTGGGCCTGCATTCTATTTTGACCTTCACCAAAGAGCTTGCCCTGTGTTGCCCCATCAGTGGCTTCCTCTCCTTAGAAACCTGGCTGTGTGAAGGTAAAGTTGTGTTAACATGACCAAAGGGACATTTAATATTTGCAGTGTCTCAGCACCAAACATGTATACAACTTCCTGTGACCGTGCAGGTAAGACCTTGCAGAGACTGTAGACGGGTCATTTGAACCAATTCTCTTGGGTGGGATGTAGGAAACGGAGCTTTTGTCATCTTTCATTGGTTCCAAGATGTACATTTTTGGATCTCTGAAGTCAGGAGGCATCTCCCAAACGATGGTATCATATTCTTACTGTTGGCCTGGAGAGAAGGCAGGTGCTCCGGAAGAGGACAGTACTGTTTCTGCTAGCCGTCCAGGGCTACCCAGCCTCAGACTGTCAGACGTTACATTCTCTGCTTGATGTTCTTTTGGATCACACTGATTGTACAAATTCAGAAAGCAACCTGCATGAGTACCACCGGCTTGGGACTCCTGTTCTCAGGGGAGGATTTTTCACCCCCACTCAGTGTCAAGGTTGAGACACACAGGTTTCCTTGCTCCCCCTTTCTCATTTACCCTCTCACTGAGGGCATCACAGCTTTATTTGGTGGGGGTAGAGGGAGGTTCCTATTAGACTCCCCATCTTAGGCTTTTTTTCTTAGTGGTCCATAAAATGATGACGCATCTTATCACCATGGTTTCTCATAAGTGATGAAGAAAGTTTCTGTTACAAATATTGTATATGATATTTGAAATGATCCTTCATGTGAATAGAAAAGGAGATAGGATTTTGAAGAAATGGTTTCACGAGATGAAACTTTCCTGTCTTGTCCTAAACCACTTCCTATCTGAGCTGTTCATGAGGCATTCCCTCCCCAGCACCGGGAACCTGCTGGCTTCCCTTGACTTTCGGGATAAAGGCAGAGTTCTTCTACATGGCCAAAGCCCTGCTGGTCCTGCCTGTTCTCTGGTCATTTCCACACTATATTCCATTCTCTCCCCTCCAGCTTTCAATCCTCGCATTCTCAACCTTCCACATCGCCTCTCATCACAGAGCCCTGGCATGGTGGCTCTGTTGGGAAACTTCTCTCTCCCTGGTTGGCTTAGCTGATCTCCGTTCCAGTGTCACTCTTCAGGACACTTCCCCCGACGCTGTCAGACCCCGACGGCAGGCCCCTGCAGCACTACGTGCTTCTCTCCCAGCATAAACACAAGCTGCAGCTCTACCTTTCTGTGATTCTTGATCAATGTTCAAATCCTTCGCTGGACTGAGCACTCCGTGAGGCAGGAATCAGGCCTGTTTTTACTCAACATTGTATCCCCAGAGTCAAGCCAGGCAACTGGCAGTTGGTTGATGCCTAAGTATAATTTGTAAATGGATGGATGAATCCAGGTGTGAGCTGCCCCCACAAGCAGGCAGTAAACCTCTGGAGCCTGGCGCAGCCAGGGGAAGCAGAAAGAGCAACAGACTTGTCATCAGAAGGCCTCTACTTTTGCCATAATGATGTGACCTTGGGAAAATCCCATCCTCTGTCTGTTTCCTCATCTCTAAATTGGGAATATCATTTAGTCTGCCTGTAAGATAGGGATGTTTTGTGAGGCTGTGAAGACACTTTGAACTATACAAGTTATGCCCCACCCACAAGCTTCTAGCTCAGCAATGGGCTCCTATGCCAAGCTCTGTTGATATGAGTTGGTTGACTGTCCTCTTCCCCAGAGAAAGGGAGATGAGATCTTATCATCCTTGGGGAGGGGTGCTCAAAGCTTTGGGTCATGAAAGGACCATGTGGCCTTGTGCTTCCTCATCTTTACATTCGCCCTTTTCAAAACCTCATGACGCCTCACTTATCAATTAGCGAACCTCATGGAATCTCTTAGGCCTTCAAAAAAAAAAGCCCATGGGCCTAGTATATAAGAAAAGGAACCCACTAGTAAAAAAAAAAAAAAAAAAAAAAAAAAAAAAAAAAAAAAAAATAATAAGAAAAGGAACCTCCTGTTGAGGACCTTCTGGTCTTTATTCTTGACACAAAGTTGGGGCCATTAGCCAGAAGAGGGAAAAGGGTGGGGAATGGGAAGACTCCTTCTTTCCTTCTCTCCTGCTTGCAGACTGGTCTTCAGACAGAGACACGGCTGAGCAGGGACAATGACTGTACCTTCTGGGACAGAGCTCCTGGGACAATCATCTGCAGGTGTATGCATTGCACCTACACCTGGCAGAATGCATGAAGTTGCTTACTTTGCCTCTGGGACCTGGACTTTAATATTAAGGTAGCTATTTACAGCAAAGCCTTACTACTTTCTCCCATATACCTCATCTTAGAGATGGGAATCCTGGGTTTCTGTTTCATCTGTATTGATTAACTATATCATTTTCCCTCTCTGAGTCAATTTTCTCATCAGTTACATGGAAATAATCATAATAATAATAATGCCACCCACCTTCCTATCTCACTGAGTTCTTTTAAGGATCAAGTGAGGTCATTTGTCAGACATAAGTGCACGGTAAGTGAAAAATCAATGCAAACGAAAGGCAATATTATTTTCTCTATGCATTTTAAATCCCTGCTTCTGTAGCAGGAAAGCACCATGCTGACTTAGTTATTCCGAATTAACTCAAATATTACCCAAGATCTAGAGTCCATAAGGTATGTAGGCAGAGAGTGAGATGTGAACAAATCCTTCATCACAAATCAATTCTCAAGCAACTCTCCAGGGCCAGCCATTCTCCCTCTGGAGAAGGGGACCCTGAGGGGTATTCACTCTCTAATTGTTTTAACAGCTTGGCTGCCCTGCCAGCATCCTCCCAGAAAACCAGATTGGTGAGGGGAGGTGCAGAATGAAGAATGAACTGGCACCTCAGCGATTCTGGATTCTGTGGAGAGGGTGGAAGGCTACACTACAGACACACACCCCTGCAGGATAATTCTAGCTGGATGCCGCAGCAGGATGGAGGACAACATGCTTCTGCAAACCTCTTGGAATGCATCACTGACTAGATTCTGGTGATCAGAGCTTCCAGCCGGCCAGAACTTCCTCAGTGCATGATCTGCTGAGCAGCTCTGACAAGGGTTCACTGGTGTCCTGGTGGAATACGGAGCCCAGGCCCTCGGAGCTCCCACTCTCCAGCTGGAAGCTGCCCACCAGCTCCTGGATCCATTGCAGGTCTGCGGAGAACTCCTGCCTCAGAATCTCAAACTGGGTTTGCAGATGGTCCAGTTTCCTGGCCACGCTTCCGAGGCTAGATCCCGTGGCCTGGATGTCTTCTCGCAGCAGCTTCTTCAATGACTCTACCTTGCGGAACTCATACCTGAGCTGGGACAGGTCGTGCCGGGTGCTCTCGTTCTCCTCTCGGTACCAAGCTTCCTTCTCATTGAAGATGGAGACCAGGGCCTCCACATCATCCTGGATGGTATCGTTGGCCTCCACCAGGGCATGGAATCCCAGGTCCACCCGAGCCACATCTTCCACCACACAGGCAAAACGTTCAAAGTTGACGTAGGAGTTGTTGCGAGGCATGCTTGAGTGGCATTTGAGAGTGTACTCTCTCAGGCGCTTGGTTTTCAGCTGGGTGGGCTCTGTCTTCCGCTCTTCGGGGGCTCTGACTTCTCCTTTTGACTGGTGGGTGTTCAGACAGAAGAACCAGAGTGTTAATTTGCCACCCGCCCCAGAGGGCAGTTTGAGGGGCAAGCAGAAGGCACACACAAGCGGCCTCTGGCATTCATTGCATGCATCAGGGCGGGGAGAACCAGGGCAGGATGAGCAGCCCCACAGACAGTAAGTGAGGTCAAGGAGTGTGGGGCTGCTGCCTGCATGCTCATTCAGGGCAGAGGGGTCCACAGTCATTACAGAGAGCTCCACAGGCATAGCATTTAAGGGGTGCTCATGCAGACAAGCAGGCTGCAGCCAGGACTCCACAGGCATCTGCGCAGGGCTGCAGTGCGTGAGGCCAGGGCTCACGCAGCGGGGCTGAGGAGCATCTCTCCTTCAGGGCTCCTTGGGCCTTCTCCATCCTTCAATGAGCAGATGAAGCTGAGCAGATGAAGCCGACCTCCTCTCAGACTACTCCAGCCCTTCCTGTTCTGTCTTCCACAGGCCTCACCTTCTCTTTGTATTGATTGATTGATTATTATTTTTTAGAGAGATGGGGTCTTGGCATGTTGCTCAAGTTGGTCTTGAACCCCGGGGCTCAAGCCATCCTTCTGCTGCCTTGGCCTCCCAAAATGCTGGGATTACAGGCATGAGCCACTGCGCCTGGCCTGCCTCACCCTCTCTTATCTCTACCTTTCTTATGGTCATTTCATCCTTGCTGGCCTTCTCACGTAACAGTTAAGGTAAATGGGAAGTCTGGTGATGTCCCCAGGTGTGCATAGCTGGCCAGTCAGCAGAATTAGGGCCTGAATCCTGCTGAGTCTCACCCTCTCAAAGTGCTCTTCACTACACCAGACCACAAGAGCCTCTGGAAAGCCAGCAGCCGGAAGCCCAACTGCAAGGCGAGTTAGGCAGGGATTCATCTTTTCGCTCCAACTCTCCCCAGAGGGAACAGAATTGCCCTGACAGTGGCTGTCTCTCTTCCCCACCAGGCCTCTGTCTCGGGCCCCATTCCTCAGGGCCTGAGGAGGTGGGTGGCTGATTTAAGTGTCATCCTTGACTTAGAGCCCCAAAAATCAGAAGGAAGGAGGGCTGGTCACAAAGTTGGGGTTTTCAATTGTCATTGATCTCTCTACACCTGGGGAGTCCTGATTTCCACTTGGAGAAGTGGCAGTGACACACCCTCCAACAAAGAACGCTGTGTAAGTTGGCCCCAAAGAAAAAGGGTTTCAACTGAGGTTTGTGAGAGTTTCATTTCATAAGTTACCTGAATTTGAGACACATAAACTTAAAATGGCAAGCAAATAAACCTATTCGAACAAGCCCAGGCCCTTTGGGGCCCCTGGCTAGCTTTCATCTGTGCCCAGGGTCAGCATTTCAAGCAAAGGCCTCTCTACAGGCCCTCTGCATCCGGCTGCCTAGGCCAACACTGGCGACAGAGCAGGGACCCTTTGCCCATTGGAACTCATGGCTGTGCCCTTACCGTGATCCAGGGGTGTCTGAGAGCCTCTTGGATTGTGAGCCGTTTCCTGCAATGAGGATTGGGAAACAGTGATGATCCATGAGTACAGAAGTTGGGAGCAACCATCTCTGTTCTCACTCTTTTTAGAACTATATTTTGGTATTATTTGGCCACTGCTGTCAAACCAGTGGAATGGAGGATGCAGAGATGGATGGGAACTGGCTGCAAATTCTGCACTCCAGGGGAAGGAAGCAGTCCAGGCAGACCCCTCAATAGAGTGGCCTTGTTACCTAAACCCATACTGTTAGTCCCAAAGCTGAATGGCCTAAGAAGTCATAAATGCTCTAATGAGCTTCCATAATCTTCCAAAAGCCAACCGTCCATTGCTAAATCCCTGGTCTCTGTTTTTCTGTTTGCCTCCTGGATCCGTTCTCTGCCTTTTGCTGCTCTGTACCCAGGTAAGTGACTCTCCCTAGCACTGCTCTTAGACAGGAAAATCAGGGCCCTTGCACTCCAGACAACCACACTCTGGCCCTCTCTGAAGTCTGTGGGATAGAGAGGACATGGTGTTCTCGTCTGTGGACCTTTCTTCCTGCTCCATCCAGGGCATGCTCCGGGTACCCAGCACCCTGCAATCCCTGCCTATTTCATTCTTTGACCCCACAGCCACATGGCTCACCCTGGCCCCTGGAGAAGGGATAGGGTTAGCATGTCTTCCACCGCCGCACTGTACTGACCTCTCCGAGCCTACTAGCTCCTACTCCCAACCTGAACTGGCTTGAAAATCCTGCCACTTAACCTTTTCAAATCTGAATTCCAGGTGCCTTTGGGACAGACTGCACAAGGTAATGAGCCCTAAAGAAACCCAGGCTGACTTCCAGCACACACACACACACACACACACACACACACACACACACGTTATTCACATTTCAACAGGAGAAGAAAGCAGAAAGACTTGAGCAAACAAGACGAATGCCACGTCTTGGCTAGGCCACACTTCCCAGCACCTGCCCGGATTAGACCACAATGGTGCAGATGACAGCTATGTCAAAGCAGGGACACACTGACAGGTCTTTGCCAGAGGTGATAGGAAGGGATCGGTACCTGAGAAACCAGTGGCTTCTCTGTCCTCTTACCGGGTCTCTTTAACCAGAAGCTTCCGAATGAAGTCCTTGGCCAGCTCGCTCGTCTGGCTGAAGAATTCCTCATCAAAGTCGTAACTCACTGCCGTGATATTTGCCAGTGTTTCCTGCTTCGTGTCTCCCAGGAAAGGGGATGCTCCACTTAGGCTGAGTACAACAGACAGGGAATCACATAACTAAGGGAAAAGTAGGTGGAAATGGGGATGACGGACTAGGGGAACCCTGCCCCATGACTGCTGCATGGAGCTGGAAGGCTCCCAGCAACACAGCCTGCCCGCTCTGGGCAGCCAACCAGCAACCCGTTCAGCTGAATCCAATTCAATACATGTTCACGGAGCTCCTCCTAAGCACCCGACAGAAACTGTGTCTTCAAGGGATGTGAAAGCGGAGGGGAGAGAAACACAGAGACGTATCTCTTTGTGATCCCCAGCAGGACAAAGCAGAATATAATGGAAGGACAGGGGAGCACAGGAAAGAGGGAGGCCCAGTGTGGCTTCACGGTGACATGGATATTTGCATCGTTTGTGTCTTGAAGAATAAAGAGGTTGTCAGAGACAGGAGACAGAAGGAGAAGGAGACAGAAAGCCCTTCTGGGTTACAGGAGCAACTTAAGCAGAGCCCAAGAAGTTTGGAAATAGATGGGCCATTAGGGACAGGAAGGATCTGTGTGGTTCCCCAACAGGGACTGTCAAAGATGTCATACAAATAATGAGTTCTAAATCTACTATCTCCTGACTCAGATTTCAGTTGCTCATGGGATGCCTTTGTAGAGGCATGATCCAGGGGTGTCTGGATCAGAAGTGCCATTGTCCCAAACTTATTGTGTCCAAACCCATTCCAAGCATTCCCTTGATGAATGACATTACTTCATGAATGTACCCAAGCTAGAAGCACAGGAGTCACCTTGGACCCTTCTTTCTATTCCCTTGACACATCTGACTGGCCAAAAGCTTCCTTGTTGGTTCCGTTTACTAAATATCTCTTGAAAGTCATCCCCATTTCCACAGCCACTTTCTTAGCATGGTGGCAGCAAGATGCACTGGAAACATTTTGATACTGCAATTTGATAAGCCACTCATTAGCTGTGTGAAGCTAGAACCCCTCTGAGCTGTAGTTTCCTCATCTGTAAAATAAAGAAACTAAAATTCCCACCTCACATGATTGTTGTAAAGAATAAATGCATACAAAAGCCTTATGTAATCCTGGCCCACATTAAGGGCTCTGGAATTAATGGCCATTATTATTGTTATTGTGAGAACACAAAAGCCCTCTATGACCTTCCATCTTCTATAGGATCACATCTAAACTCCTGAGCAAGGCATCAAGCGTCGGTCCTTACCCCATGCTTGGTACATTTTAGCCGAACTTAAGGTTTACCATTCCTTTTCTCACGCTGTTTCCTCAGCCAGCACAGCCCTTCCCTCCTTCTCCACCCACATCCCATTCATTCCCTACATCCCAGTTCAAATCGATCCATCAATCATGTGCTCTATTCCTCTCTCAATAAACCTTCAGCAAACCAGTGGCTCCCATCTGTGTCTCAAAGAGGCGTGTTCATGCCTCCAGCCTAACCTTGGTTCCACTGGGTGTGAGTTAGGTGTATGGTGTGTTTCCCACAGACAGGGAGCCCCAGCAAGCAGGGAAGACCCTCCTTCATGTCGCATCCTGGGGCCTGGTACGGTGCCTGCCATGGAGCAGATCTCAACAAAGCTGTTAAATTCAAACAAGCCACAAGAAGACTATGCCTTCAGCAGACACTGGGATTCCTTCTTTTTTGAGACGGGATCTTGCTCTGCTGCCTAGGATGGAGTGCAGTTGTGCGATTACGACTCACTGTAACTTCTGGGCTCAAGCGATCCTCCTGTCTCAGCCTCCCAAGTAGCTGGGACTGTAGATGTGTGCCAGCACACCCCGCTAGTTTTTTGTTTTGTTTTTTGTAGAGACGGGGTTTTGTCATGTTGCCCAGCCTGATCTTGAACTCCTGGACTTAAGCATCTGCCCACCTCAGCCTTCCAAAATGCTGGGATTACATGGGATTCCTTCATAGTTCAAATCAGAGTCCTGAAGAAATCAAAGTTTCAAGAGCCAGAGTCAGACTATTCTGGCTCTGATCTGAAACTATAGATTGATGGTTCTCAGCCTTCTCTTTGCATCAAATTCAGCTGGAGTTTTAAAAGATATAGATACTAAGACTCTATCCCCAGCAATTGTGATATAATAGATCTGGGGTGGGGCCTGGGCCATGGTGGGTGTTAAAAGCTCTGCTGTGCCGCCAGGGTTGAGATCTTCTGCTGCAGCTCAGGGGGATCCACCATGTCACACAGGGTTCCTACTCCAAGTGCTGCTGGGAGAGTCAGAGACCTGGTTCATAGGGATCATTGAGAGAATGATCCCCTCAGCTGCTGAGCACTGGTGCCCCCTGCCCCAACCAGTTGACTCTTACTCCAGTGTGCTATAAAAATAGCATTTTCCATGTGTGCCGTGAAGGGAAAATGGTTGGGAAGGGCTGATGGAATGAATAGTCACCAGCCCACTGTGCATGTGCCAGAGCCAGGGCTAGGAAACTTGCACGTTGACTTATTTAGCTTTTACAACACGCCCATGGCAGGAAGTTTGTGATTCTCGTTTTTCTCATGAGAAAAACAAGCCCAGAGGTTAAGTCCCTACCCAAGGTCACAGAGATGGAAAGTGATAGTATCATGGGACTCCAGCCCCAGAGGTAACTCACTACACACTGGAGCTATGCAGGAAATCTCTGTCTAAGCAACTGAATACAGGCAAAGAGGAAGGAGAAAGGAGGAGAGAGACAGTGAGAGGAAGAAAAGGGGATCTGGGGAAATGAGGAAAGAAAGAAGAGGCAAGATTGGGGAGGGCATAAGTAGCTTCACAGGGCTGTCCAAAGAGTTCTGAGTGAAGGGGACGGGCACAGTGACTCACAGCTGTAATCCCAGCACTTTGGGAGGCTGAGGCAGGTGGACCATGAGGTCAGGAATTCAAGACCAGTCTGGCCAACAGAGTGAAACCCTGTCTCTACTAAAAATACAAAATTAGCCAGGCATGGTGGTGGGTGCCTGTAATCCCAGCTACTTGGGAGGGTGAGGCAGGAAAATTGCTTGAACCCAGGAGGCGGAGGTTGCAGTGAGCCAAGATCGTGCCACTGCACTCCAGTCTGGGTGACAGAGCAAGACTCCGTCTCAAAAAAAAAAAAGAGTTCTGAGTGAAAAGTAACATTCTCCAGTACACCTCAGTCTGGGGGAGGCTAAACAGGGGAGTCCTGGCATTCTACAGGAGAAATGCAGACACAGGCTGTACAGAGTGGAGAGCCCGAGGCTGCTCCCGTGGATGCCTACTCAACCTCAATGCCAGGGTCAGATGGATACAATGAACCTACAGCACTTAGCCTCAGGCTTGCTGTGTGGACTTAACGCATCTGGATTATGGTGGGTGCTTAGTAAATGTCAGTCTGTCAGCCTGCCCCTCTCTCATTCCTTCTGGTTCCCCCAGATCTAAGCTGAGCCAGAGCCCCTAGATCAGGGATACTCACAGGATGTAGGTGATGACGCCTATGCTCCTGCAAAATAAAGAACAGTCAAGTCAGGGCCGCCTGGGTCCAATCCCCGACGAGCAAGGACACCCTCATGGATCTCAGGGGAAGAGGTCACTTGCCTCCTCCACAGTAGACCCTGGATGCCGTCTCATGCTCCACACCCCTCTCCATCCCTCTCCTCAGCAGCAGCCCGGGATGTGTGTGGAGTCATCAAGCTCCGAATCCTGAGTCTGAAGACCCAAGTTCAAGATCAGACTCTTGCACTTGCAGGCTGTGTGATTTAGGTAAGTCCCTTACCACCTGGGAGTCCTTTTCCCCTTATAAAATGAGGATAATGATAACTACCTCACAGGACTGTTGGCAGGATTTTAGAAAACCAGGTAACAAAGATGCTTGGCCAACTGTAAAGCAGAGTCCAAATGAAACGAGTCCCATCTGTGCAGAGAACTAATCCCTGCAGTATCCGCAGGCCCAGCACAGTGCCCAGAATGCATGGACTTTCAGTGACCACTTGGTTGGCCGACTGAGTGAGCTACTGTTACTATTATATTTAACCTGGCTGGGGCAGGCCCAGGGGTGAGCCTGCACCCTCCACCTTGCCTCTCTTTTTGCTCCTCCATTCCTGATAAAGCTCTGACCTGGTCAGGAGCTAACTGGCCTCAGGTCCAGGCCTAGAGGCCTCCAGCTGCCCTGGCCACAGGTCTAACATACTGGGGGAGCAGCCAGAGGCTCTGAACAGTGAGTGTGGAGTAAGGGGCTTTCATGGTTAAGGGGATGTCACCTGGAGCAGGATCTGAGGCCTTCTGCCCTTGGAAAGATTGCTAGGTCACCTGGGTGGCCTGTCCAACTTACCACATGTCAGCCTCCAGACCCAGGGGTTCGTAGTTCACAATTTCTGGAGCTGAAAGAAGTCATATTAAATAGTCAACGTGAGTGTGAAAATGAGAGGAGAGATGGTTGTAGGGAATTTTAGGGAATTTGGTGCCAAATGTCTCCATCCTAAATCTCCAGGAAAATTAGAGCAGCAGATAAAGGTGATCTGCGTCTAAGATTTCTGAGGAAAGGAGTTGCCATGGCCCAAATGTTTGTGTGTCCCCAAAATTCATATGTTGAAAGCAAATCCCCAATGCAATAGTATTAAGAGGTATAGTCTTTAGGAGGTAACTAGGTCATGAGAATGGAAACCTCTCAAGTGGGACTAGTACCCCTATAAAGAGGCCTGAGGGCTGGGTGTGGTGGCTCACACCTATAATCCCAGCACTTTGGGAGGGTGAGGCAGGAAGACTGCTGGAGCCCAGGAGTTGGAGACCAGCCTGGGCAACACAGTGAGACCCCATCTCCACAAAAAATTTTTAAAAATTACCTGGGTGTGGTGGTACATGCCTGTAGTCCCAGGTACTTGGGAAGAGGCTGAGGTGGTAAGGATTGCTTGAGCCTGGGAAGGTTGAGGCTGCAGTGAGCCATAATTGTACTACTACTCCAGCCTGAGTGACAGAGTGAGACCCAATCTTAAAAAAAAAAGGGAAAGAAAAAGAAAACGAGGCCTGAGAGAGCTTGTCTGCCCCTTTGGTCATTTGACAACTTAGCAAGAAGGTGCCATCTATGAAACAGGGTGAGCTCTCACCAGATTCCAAAGGTGCCTCACTGGCACCTTGACCTTGGCCTTCCCATCCTCCAAAACTGTAAGCAATAAATTTCTGTTGTTTATAAATGACCCACTTTAAGGTATTTCATCAAAGCAGCCCAAAAGGACTAAGAAAAGAGTTGTCTGTTATCCTGGTAGAAACCTTTTACAAACAGGCCTTGATAGGAAAAGGAAAAGTACACAGAACACCTGAAAAAGGAAGAGGAGAGCAGGGAGAGGAAGGTACAGGAAGGAGAAATGGGGCCTTGGCTATGCAGCCTGCTTTAGAACTCTCTGGTAAAGACCAGTCATGTCAGTGCTGGAAAGCGATGAAGAAGAAGGCATTTTCCTCTGAGTCTGGTCTGAAAGAGGGTCCCTCCCACCTGATGAGCAGGAGGACATTCTTGGGGGCCCCTGAGACAATGAGCTTGAGGTGCCTGAGGGGCAGCCAGGGGAAGATGTCCAGGGGCAGGCTTCAGGGGAGTGGGTCAGAGCCATCATGTTTGGAGCCATCCATGTACAGAAAGGAGCAGGAGCTGAGCCAACGATGTGATGACCAGGAGAGGGTGCAGAGTCTAGGAGAGATGGCTCTGCCAAGGAGACAAGAAGACCAAATGCTCCCCAGAGATCAAGCAGATAATCCCTGGAAAGTGAGTGTTGAATTTCACAGCCCCACAGTGCCCAGAGTGTCAAGAAGGTACAGGCTGGGCACGGTGGCTCACATCTATAATCCCAGCACTTTGGGAGGCCGAGGTGGGTGGATCACTTGAGGTCAAGATTGGAGACCAGCCTGGCCAACATGGCAAAACCCCATCTCTACTAAAAATATAAAAAAAGTAGCTGGGTATGGTGGCGGGTGCTTGTAATCCCAGCTACTTGGGAGGCTGAGGCATGAGAATTGCTTGAACCTGGGAGGTGGAGGTTGCAGTGAGCTGAGATCATGCCACTGCACTTCAGCCCGGGTGACAGAGTGAGACCCTGTCTGGGAAAAAAAAAAAAAAAAGGACCGGGTGTGGTGGCTCATGGCGGTAATCCCAGCACTTTGGGAGGCCAAGGTGGGCAGATTACCTGAGGTTAGGAGTTTGAGACCAGACTGACCAACATGGTGAAACCCTGTCTCTACTAAAAATACAAAATTAGCTGCGCGTGGTGGCGCATGCCTGTAATCCCAGCTACTCAGGAGGCTGAGGCAGGAGAATCGCTTGAACCCAGGAGACAGAGGTTGCAGTGAGCCAAGATCACGCCATTGCACTCTAGCCTGGGCAACAAGAACGAAATTCCATCTCCAAAAAAAAAAACAAAAAGAAGGTACACAGAAGTGGAGGTAAGGCATAGATGACACTTTTTAAAAGCTTGGAGATTATGGAGACAAAAGAGAGGACAGTAGCTTAAGAAGGACTGTTCATCCATGCTTTTTACATTTTCACTGCTACATGGTAATCCATCATGTGAATGTGTATCATTTTGTAGTCATTCTCTCAGAGTTCGTTTAAATGGCTTCCATTTAAAAAAATTATTGAAACGACATTGCTATGAATTTTTTTTTTGCATGTGTTTCCTAATGTGCACATGAAAGACTTTCTTTAGGTCAGTGATAATTCAAAGTGTGGTCTGCAGAGACAAACAGTTCATAGACTCACTGGTCCAACAAGATAGGCACAGAAATTTGGACTATGCATTTAGAGACTCTTATAGCAATGTGACACTGCTGTGACATCCAAACTGTGGTCATTTTTCTAATAATTTATTTGTTTTTATTTTTGTTTTTTTGAGACAGAGTTTCATTCTTTTTGCCCTGTCTGGAGTGCAATGATGCGATCTCGGCTCACCGCAACCTCCACCTCCTGGGTTCAAGTGATTCTCCTGCCTCAGCCTCCCAAGTAGCTGGGATTACAGGCACATGCCACCAAGACAAGCTAATTTTATATTTTTAGTAGAGACAGAGTTTCGCCATGTTGGCCAGGCTGGTCTCAAACTCCTGACCTCAGGTGATCCACCTCCCTCGGCCTCCCAAAGTGCTGGGATTACAGGCATGAGCCATAGCACCTGGCCTAAGAATTTATTTTTTATTGTATCTTACTGAAGTAGCAGTTCAAGACAGACTGATTTTTTTGTTTGTTTGTTTTTGAGACAGGGTCTTGCTTATTTACCCAGGCTGGAGTGCAGTGGCACAATCACAGCTCACTGCTGACTCAACCCCCTGGGGTTAAGCGATCCTCCCACCTCAGCCTCCCAAGTAGCTGGGACCACAGGCATGTGCCACTATACCAGCTATTTTTTAAATTGTTTTTGTAGAGATGAGGTCTCACTACATTGCCCAGGCTGGTCTCAAATTTCAAGCCTCTGGCCTCAGCCTCCCAAAGTGCTGGGATTACAGGCGTGAGCCACCACGTCCAGCCGAATTTTTTTTTTTTTAAAGCTTTCATCATAGATTGAGAAGCAGAACTCACTTTCTCATGCCATTGATCTGAGATATATACACTTTTATTTCTGTCATCAACATGCTTTTATTTGTCTGTTTTTTTTTCTGTGCCTTTCTTTTCCTTTCTTGCCTTCTTTAAAACAAAGACTTTCGGTTTCATTGTTTTTTCCCCAACTTCTTTTTTTTAACAACTATCTTTGAGACATAACTGTGGATATCTAACAAATTCTAATATAAATCAACATTTTGATGCTCCTCTAACAATCTAAAAACCTCAGAACATTAATTTTAAACACTGATCCATCTAACATTTTCTTCATGTTTTAGTTTTATCCTATTTTTTTTTTGAGATGGAGTCTTGCTCTTATTACCCAGGCTGGAGTGCAATGGTGCCAACTTGGCTCACTGCAACCTCCACCTCCTGGGTTCAAGCAATTCTCCTGCCTCAGCCTTCCGAGTAGCTGGGATTACAGGCACCCACCGCCACTCCCAGCTAATTTTTGTATTTTTAGTAGAGTTGGGGTTTCACCATGTTGGCCAGGCTGGCTGATCTTGAACTCCTGACCTCAGGTGATCTGCCCGTCTCAGCCTCCCAAAGCGCTGAGATTACAGGTGTGAGCCATGGCGCCCAGCCTATTGTTTTGTTTTTTGAAACACACTCTCACTGTCGCCCAGGCTGGAGTACAGTGGTGCTATCTCGGCTCTCTGCAACCTCCGCCTTCCAGGTTCAAGCAATTATCCTACTTCAGCCTCCAGAGTAGCTGGGACTACAGGCGTGAGCCACAATGCCTGGCTAATTTTTTGTATTTTTAGTAGAGGTGGGGTTTCACCATGTTGCCCAGGCTAGTCTCGAACTCCTGGCCTCAAGTGATCTGCCCGTCTTGGCCTCCCAAAAATGCTGGGATTACAGGCATGAGCCACTGTGCCCAGCCATCATCACAATTTTAGGCAGAAAAATGTTTACATTTGCTAAATATTTACTGATTTCTTTGCTTCTCTTACTTCTTGCTTTGAGGCCTCCCTTCAGAGTTCATTTCTTTAATTCAGAAGTACATCTTTTAGAACTTCTGCTAATGATGGTCTATTGGTGGTAAACTCTATATCAATGTTTTGGGGGTTTTTAAATTGTTCTTCTTTGTTTTTCTTACATCTTTGCCCTCATTCTTTGTTTTTTTTTTTTTTTTTTTGTTTGTTTTTTTCTGATACATGATCTCACTCTGTCGTTCAGGCTAGAGTGCAATGGCGCGATCTCAGCTCACGACAACCTCTCTCTCCTGGGTTCAAGTGATCCTCCTGCCTTAGCCTCCCAAGTAGCTGGGATTACAAGCGTGCACCGCCACATCTGGCTAATTTTTGTATTTTTAGTAGAGGCAGGGTTTCACCATGTTGGTCAGGCTGGTCTCGAGCTCCTGACCTCAAGTGATCCACCCGCCTTGGCCTCCCAAAGTGCTGGGATTACAGGCATAAGCCACCATGCCTATCCTCACTCTTGAGATATATTTCTGGGCACACAATTATGGGTTTACTTTTATTTTTCGTCAGCTCTTTGGAGATAATATTCCACTGGATACTGGCTTCCACTGTTGTTTGGAGAAATATGCTGTTGATCTAATTATTGTTCTTTTGTAGGTATTTGTCTTCTCTCACTGCTTTGTCTTGGTACCCTTCAATTTCACTATAATGTATCTAGGTAAGATTTTTGTTTTTTCTGCATGGTATGCATTGTCCTTTCTGTGTCTGTGGATGCATGGATGCAGTTCTGAAAATTCTCAGCCATTCTCTTCAAATAGTGCTTCTCCTTTTTTTTTGTCTCTATTTCCTCCTTTTAGAATTCCAAAGAGACCTGTGATGGGTTTTCTCTTTTTACTCTCTTACTTTTCCTCTCTTTCATTTTCTACGTCTTTGTCACTCTGTGGTGCTCTAGCTAACTTTTTTTTTGAAACGGAATCTCGCTCTATTGCCCAGGCTGGAGTGCAGTGGCGCGATCTCGGCTCACTGCAAGCTCCGCCTGCCGGGTTCACGCCATTCTCCTGCCTCAGCCTCTCGAGTAGCTGGGACTATAAGTGCCCGCCACCACACCTGGCTAATTTTTTGTATTTTTAGTAGAGACGGGGTTTCACCGTGTTAACCAGGATGGTCTCAATCTCCCAAGCTGTGATCCGCCCACCTTGGCCTCCCAAAGTGCTGGGATTACAGGCGTGAGCCACCGTGCCCGGCCTCTAGCTAACTTTTTTCAGCTCTTTCAATTCTTCGACTCTTTCCTTTGCTGTATATAATCTGATGTTTAACCCATTCACAGAGTTTTAAATTTCAGCAATTAAATTCCTTCAAGTTCTATTATCTAGTTCTTTTTAAAATTCATCTGGTCATTTTTGACACCTCTTGTTGCTTGCTCATTCTTGTGAGTCTACCTTTTATTTCTATGTATATAAAATGTACTTTAATGTGTATATTCCACTAGTGTATATATTCCATCCATCAGATGTTATAGTCAACATCTGATAATTCCAGTATCTTATGTCCTTGAACGTCTAAATTTTGCTAGTCTCTAACTGAAGTGGTGACAAGCGAACTTGCCTCTAGGGGAGGTCCTTCTGTTGAATTTTCTTGCTGCTCACTGCTCTAGCTCCAAGTTGTCAGCTTTTGGGGGTGGGACAGGTGGTGCTGAAGGAGTTACTATGTTTAAAGATTTCTCTGACCAGGAGCAGTGGCTCACTGGCTCACATCTGTAATCCCAGTACTTTGGGAGGCCAAGGCAGGGGGATCACTTGAGGTCAGGAGTTGGAGACCTGCCTGGCCAACAGGGTGAAACCCTATCTCTACTAAAAACACAAAAATTAGCCAGGCATGGTGGTGGGTGCCTGTAATCCCAGCTACTAGGGAGGCTGAGGCATGAGAATCACTTGAACCCAGGAGGTGGAGGTTGCAGTGAGCTGAGATCACACCTGTGCCCTCCAGCGTGGGCGACAGAATGAGACTCTGTCTCAATAAATAAATAAAAATAAAGATTTCTCTTACTTCCCGTGAGACCAGAATTTCACGAAAAAGAAAATTTTTCTCAAGAATCCAGTTTTGTAAGCCGGGCATGGTGGCTCACACCTGTCACCCAGCACTTTGGCAGGCTGAGGTGGGAGGATCACTTGGGTCCGGGAATTTGAGATCAGCCTGGGCAATATAGTGAGACCCCACCTCTACAAAACATTTTAAAAATTTGCCAGGCATAATGGTGCATGCCTGTAGACCAAGCTACTCAGGAGGTTGAGGTGGGAGGATTACTTGAGCCCAGGACATTGAATCTGTGGTGAGGTATGATGGCACCACTGCACTCCAGCCTGGGTGACAGAATGAGACCCTGTCTCAAAAAAAAAAAAAAAAAAAAAATCCAGTTTTGTAGCTGGAGGGCTTTTTAGAACACCTAATCCACCCTAGTACTAAAAGCTGACATTAATTTTTTGACCCTGGGTCTCAGGTTACAATATCAAAGGAATGGTAGGAGCAGGGGAAAATGGTTATAACCTATTTCTCAGGGGTCTTGGGAAAGAAAGTCATCATAATTTAGCCAAGGGTTTGGAGAAGTCATCTTATATATTTTAAGGTAAGACAAAACCAGTGCAAACAAAACCATACTGGCTCACAAAAGTCAATGATGTGTATATCTTTCCAACTCTGTATTGAGTGACAACATGCCAGTATCTTGAAATTGGCCAATGCTATAAATTAGGGAATTTGTTTTTGAGACCTGGTTGTTACTTATCAGCATACCACTGGACAAAACTCTCCATAGTACAGCCTCATCCATCAATAACCCACTCACACGAACAGTCTAGTGTGAACTCTCGGCTCCATTTGCAGTGGACAGTGACTTGTCCCTGATAAATGGCTTACTCTGGCCTTACTCCCCTGATGGGGTATCAGTGAACCTGGGAGGTGTTCCTCCTCTCCTCTGGCTCCCTCCCCACCCCTCTTCCGATACCTCTCCCACCCCAACACCAGACCTTTTTCCCTCACTCACTCAAGGCCATGACTGATCCCATTGACTTTGCCAGAGTGGATATCTCATATGAACAGTCTTTTCAGAACATCTATTTCACTTGCTTTACACTTAATCACATCCTGTCTTGTGACACCTCTTCCATTATTGCTCTGAGTTTCTAGTTGTTTATTGTTAACAATTAGAATAAATTTAACTAATAGACATGCGTTTTTATCACATATGAGAATGGTGGGTAGCAACCGCTCTTTCAGACAAAGCTCGAGTCTAGATGTCTGTGCCCCAGGTTTAAGTTGGCTTGGCCACCAACTTGTGACCTTGGGTGTGTCATTCTGAGTATGACTGTGTCCCCCATACATCACCTAATATCTGTCATACGGTAGGTGACAAATAACTTGAGTTGACCTTAACTAAAATCCCCCAGCCTGTCATCTCCACATATGTTAAACTTGACCAGAGAATCCAAAAAGATCCTTCTGGCACTCTTATTTGGTGGTTTGATGTCTTGTCTCTACAACTGAATTGTAAGCTCTTTGAGGGCAGGGTTTCCTTAGACAACCTGGCATAACGGGAAGAGCACAGGCTTTGCTGTTGGCTGTATCTGTATTTGAATCTCAGCTCCACTGCCTACTGGTTGTGTTGCCTTGAACAAGTCACTTGTTGGAGAAAATAATTAACTCTGCTTCATGAAGCCATTTGAAGATAATTAAGAGAATGTTTGTAGAGCATGAGACATAGTGCCTGGTATACAGCAAGGGCTTCCTGCCCTGGGATCTGTGGGGTCTCTGAACAGCATTCTACAGTGGCTGCAGAGCCTGAAAATCCATCAGGAGGTTCGCCTGACACATTCTTTCTTTTTGATTTGACTGTGGTCAGAAGTTTTAGCACCCAGATTTTGAGGACATCATGCATGCCCTCCCTGTCTCCAAGACCACTCCAACTCCCAAAGCAGATACACAGATGGTGGTTCTCAGGGCTCATTCCTTCCCCCTGTACAGGCTGTTTCTTCATGACCCCAACTTCCTCCCCAAGCCCTGTAGGGAGGCTTCTGGGGTACAGAATAGGCAGGGGCCTGGGCCAAGGGTGAGAGAAACAGAGGGAAGAGAAAGCAGCCAGGGCCCCACTGGAGCTAGGCACCCCCATGCATGAATAAAGCCAGGCATAGAGGAGAGGCGAGTGGGTGGATGTGGAATTTGGCAGATGATTTCCCTTTTCCTTTTCAGGAAATCAAAAGCTAGTTCAGAGAAGGTTGAGTTTATGGGAATTCAAGAGGGCGAGGTAATTTTAAATCTTCACAAGAATAAACTCATCTAAGAGCAGGAGGTGGGGCCAGGGCTGCGAGGGTTTAACCTTATAGGCTGTAGCCCCACTGAGAGCCACTGGGCCCCATTCAGCCCTTGCCCCACTGAGCACTCAAAGGCTACACCTGGGCCCTCACCCCCAGGCCCAACAAGACATTTCCTTCTTCACCCATTAGGTTTCTAGGGATGTCCCAACGTATTATCTCTTTGCCCAGAGGCCATAGCCCCAGACACAGGTTTCTTCCCAGGATCTCTACCTTTGATGCTCAGATTCTTAGCTGAGAAAGAAACAGGCCTAAAACTCACCGACAAATTCCGGCGTCCCAAAAATGTTCTTAAATTCAACTCCATCTTCTATTTCGTGAGCCAGACCAAAGTCAATCAGCTTGATGTGTGGAATAGGAATATTCTTGTCTAACAACATAATGTTTTCTGGCTGGACAACAAAAAGGAGAAAAAAAAAAAAGGAAGGAAGGAAGAAAAGAAAAAAAAAGACGATAATTAAAGGCTGGTTGGTTTGTGTTTTGGCTTTGGGGTTTGGGGTGGGACTTGGTGTTCTTTTTAGGAGACTGAAACAGCATAAACTCTTCCTTGTTTTTGTGTCCTCAGTCTTCTCTGTGAACTCAAAGACAGGCAAAGCATTGAGGGCAAGGCCTGGGTTTTACTAAACCTTCTGCTCACAGCAGAACTGAAGACTCTAGCCTTCATCTCCGTTCTGTCTCTGAGTGGCAGATCCCTTTAATGCAGTGCCTCTGTTTTCCCATCTGTCAAATGGGGTCAGAGATACTTGCAGCATTTCCTGTAAACAAACCCAGCACTGCTGTGTGAGTGTGAAAGGGAGGGGGACATCCCAGCTTAGCCTCTGTTTATACTTGGCTTACTGACTTGGTCTTCCTGACCGCCTCTTTCCCCTGGCCAGCCAGCTTCCTGTTGACAACATTCCCCTCCTCTAGATTAACTGTGTAGCCCACATTTCTCTCTGTGTTTAACTAATTTTGGTCCTCAGCAGGACACAGGAAAAAATGCACCCCATTTCCAGGGAAAATACCAGCCGCTCAGGCTATTTCCAGCCCAGCAAGCAGCTGCCAGGTCTGACACAACAATGCAGGTGTGTGCGGGGTAGGGGAGAGCCCCTCACACACCCATGGGCCTGGCCCTCGCACATCCCAAACTCCCAGTGAGGCTGCAATGGAATCCTGAGCTCTCCCTTCTCACTCCCACCCAACCACTCAGACTATGGTCCCCTCTGCTTCACCCACTTTCTCCCACCACACAACTTTCCTTCACTCCACTCTAAAGGAAATGTCCCGAAAACACAATCCACACAAAATCCGTATACAAATGTTCACAGCAGCATATTCCCAATAGCCCTGAAGGGGAAACAGTGAATGAATGGATAAACAAGATGTGAACACCCATAGCACATCTAGTATCCACATGTGAATGCTCTTTGGCCATAAAAAGGAATGAAGTCAAAAAAATAAAAAGGAATGAAATACTGCTGGGCACGGTGGCTCACGCCCGTAATCCTAGAACTTTGGGAGGTCGAGGCGGGTGGATTACTTGAGGTCAGGAGTTTGAGACCAGCCTGGCCAACATGGCAAAACCCCTGTCTCTTCAAAAAATACAAAAGCTGGGTGTGGTGGTGCACTTCTGTAGTCCCAGCTACTCAGGAGGCTGAGGCAGGAGAATCGCTTAACCCAGGAGGTGGAGGTTGCAGTGAGCCAAGATCATGCCACTGCACTCCAGCCTGGGCAACAGAGTGAGTCTCCATCTCAATAAATAAATAAATTAATTAATTTAATTTAATTAAATATAAAGAGGAATGAAGTATTGATACCTGCTACAGCAGCAATGAACCTTGAAAACATTATGCTAAGGGAAAGAACCAGTCACAAAAGACAAAAAATATTCCATTGATACAAAATACCCAGAATAGGCAAATCCACAGAGACAGAAAATAGATTAGTCGTCGCCTAGGATTGGGGGAATGGAGAGATGGGGAGTACAAGGTTTCTTTTGTATTTTCTATAAATGATGGTGGTGTTGGTTATTTAACTTCGTAAACGGTACACATTAAGTGAATAAATTATATAGTATGTGAATTATATCACCATAAAGCTATTAAATAAAAAAAATATTTAAGAAAATCGAACATCCCTGTTTCTTAAAGCACTCAAGGGCTTCCATACCTTGCACCTTTGCGCATGCCATCTGCTCTGCCTGGAAAGCCTTCTGTTCAGTCTCTGCCCATTGAAATCCTAGCTGGGCTTCAAAGTCTAACTCAATCCACGGTGTTCTTGCAGACTTTCCTCAGCAACCCTAAGCACCCTCCACCACCCCCAGGAGTGAGCCCCACCCTCCTCCAGGCCCCACCAAGCTTATTTGAACCTTTCTGTGATGAATATTTGGCATGCTTTCTCTTGTCTAGCGATCCTTTGCTGTTTTTATCATAGCTCCCCTACCAGAGCTTTCTTCAGCTGGAAGGAGGATTCATATCTTTGCATCTTTGCATCTTTGCCCCTGCAGTGCACAGCATAGCAGCTGGCGTGCTGAGGGTGACCCTAGCTGTTAGCTGGACTGATACTGAATCTGGACGGATGCCTCCCCCATGTGCCCCTGGCTGCCTATGGTCTCTGTGACCTTCCAGCTGGAAACTTCCACTCAAGGGAGCTGGCTGAGGCCTTCCCCAACTTTTTTTCCTTTTTTAAAAAAATAAATAACACATTTCCTTTTGCATTTTTTGCTTTTTTATTCTTCTTCCCCTCTGGAGATTACTCTCAACACGGTTTTGAAAATGTGTCCAAGTCTTTCCCCAAGGCACCGCAAATTTCCCCAAGGCCGTACAGAAAGGAGCATGAGGGTAGGCGAGGTCAGCTTATGACCTGGAGAGGATCCAGGAAAATGGGCCCACTCCAGCACCCCTGAACATCCCACTGGGGGCTACCCACAGACCCCAAGTGTCCTGGCACCCCATGCAGTCAGCTGCAACCTCCCGACTGCCAACTATCTCCCAGGTAGACAGTTTCACCCTCTTAGGAACTTCTCCTCTCCTCCAGGGAAAAGACCCTGAGACATGTCTCCGGTGCTGAAAGGCCATGGCCCCAGCCCTCCCAACCACCATAGCTGAGGGCCTAGGACACTGCCACACACCACATGCTGACTGGGGGTGGGAGCCACAGTGGGCGGAGGTGGAAACACCAGATGTGGTGATCCCCAGGACTATGGAGCAGCAGGGATGAGGTGATGGAGGGGAAGAATTGAGGCTGAAATCTCCAAGGCAACGCTGCCTGAGAGATGGGAAGTCTCCTTCCTCACATCCACTCACCTCTGTGGCACACAGTCCAGGAGAGATGGTTTCCCCACTGGCCTATAAGAACCTCAGGGCAGGCTGGGCACAGTGGCTCACGCGTGTAATCCTAGCACTTTGGGAGGCCGAGGCTGGGGGATCACCTGAGGTCAGGAGTTCGAGACCAACCTGGCCAATATGGTGAAACCCCATCTCTACTAAAAATATAAAAATTAGCTGGGTGTGGTGGCATGCGCCTGTAATTCCAGCTACTCGGGTGGCTGAGATAGAAGAATCAGTTGAACCCAGAAGGCGGAGGCTGCAGTGAGCCGAGAACACACCACTACACTCCAGCCTGGGCAACAAAGTGAGACTCCATTTCAAAACAACAACAACAACAACAACAAAAAAGAACCTCAGGGCAAGACCATGTTCCCCCCAACCCCCCAGTCCCATCTGTCCTCAGCCCCACCCTAAGAATCTAACACACAGCAGGTGACTTCTCTCCTGCTTGGAACACTCTCCCCGCACTACCCGAACCCCAAACCTGGTTAGTTCCTATTCACATTTCAGCAAAGGTAGTACCTCCTCCAGAAGGCCTTTCCTGCTCTTTCCCTGCCTACCACCCTCCCCAGTTCCCAAAGTACCCTGTAATACCCGAATACGGTGCTTCTTACTCTGATGAGCTTGTCTGCTTGTCTCCCTCTACTGGGTTGCCCAAGGGTTTTGTTCCTGTCATCTCCCCAGAGGTTGGGATAGAGCCTGATATCCAGCAGGCGCTCAATATATGTGCCCTAAGTGAAGACAGGTGCCCCGATTAAGCCCTTGCAATATACAGGACCCAGTGCTAAGCAAACATGCGACATACTTTATACTTCATTGAACTCTCAACTACCTCATGTGCTGGGTGTTACCATTCCTCTTTTGGGAAAAAAAAAAAAAAAAGAAACCATGACTGGCCAGGTGTGGTGGCTCACGCCTGTAATCCCAGAACTTTGGGAGGCAGAGACAGGAGGATTGCTTAAGCCCAGGAGTTCAAGACCAGCCAAGGCAACATGGCGAAACCCTGTCTCTACAAAAAAAAATTTAAAAATTAGCCCAGCATGGTGGCACACACTTGTAGTCCCAGCTACTCAGGATACTGAAGTGGGAGGATCACCTGAGTCCAGGAGGTTGAGGCTGCAATAAGCTATGATTGTGCCACTATACTCCAGACCTGGCAACAGAGTGAGACCCTGTCAAAAAGAAAAAAAGAAAAGAAAAGCAATGAAACCAAGACTATAACATTAGCTTGTATTATCCCTCATTAGGAATTTTAACCTTTATCTCTCAGGCCCCAAAGCCTGTGCTCCTAACCACTAAACTAAATGATTCCCCTTCCTTGCTTCTCAGGGGTCTTATTAATCTAGCCCAGGGGGACCGGGTGCAGTGGCTCATGCCTGTAATCCCAGCACTTTGGGAGGCTGAAGTAGGTGGATCACTTGAGGTCAGGAGTTCAAGGCTAGCCCAACATGGTGAAACTCCGACTCTACTAAAAAAGATACAAAAATTAGCTGGGTGTGGTGGCACATGCCTGTAGTCACCACTACTTAGGAAGCTGAGGCCAGAGAATTGCTTGAACCCGGGAAGCAGAGGCTGCAGTGAGCTGAGATCGTACCACTGTAATCCAGTCTGGGCAACAGAGAGGGACTCTGTCTCAAAAAAAAAAAAAAAAACTATCCCAGACAGAAGCAGCAATGCCACTCTGGCCTGGCAACCTGGGGCAACCTCATGCCTGGCTCAGACACAGCTGTTTCCTCCTCTGGCACCTGCGTCCTACCCCAGGTTGCCTTTTCTTCTGGTGATGCTTCCATGCAAGTGAGTAGCCCCAGACCCCATCCCTGGCCTCAGGAGCTCCTGAGCAGGAGGTCCTCAAGTCAGATGAGAAAACGGAGGTCCTGGCAGAGGGAACACCCAAGCTGGGTCTGGATAAAGGGATGTAGCCTGGGAGTTTCAGGCTGGAAGGTGGCCATGGGGCAGCAGGAATGCTCTGTTGGGTGGTCAGGACCCGGGTTCTTGTCCCCACCTTCACCACTCATTGGGCCATTTGGACCAGACATACCCACAGACTCAGACCTGCCCTGATTGGGAGTAAAGAGAGGCCATGG